GTTATGATTCTGTTCTTTTGCATTTGCTGAGGAGTGATTTACTTCCAATTATGTGGTCAATTTTAGAGTAGGTGTGGTGTAGTACTGAGAAAAATGTATATTCTGTGGATTTGGGGTGGAGAGTTCTGTAAATGTCTATTAGATCCACTTGGTCCAGATCTTCATTCAAGTCCTGGATATCCTTGTTCATTTTCTGTCTCACTGATCTGTCTAATACTGACAGTGGAGTGGTAAAGTCTCCCACTATTATTGTGTGGGAGTCTAAGTCTCTTTGTAGGTCATTAAGAACTTGCTTTATGTATCTGGGCCCTCCTGTATTGGATGTGTATATATCTAGGATCATTAGCTCTTCTTGTTGCATTGATCCTTTTACCATTATGTAATGGCCTTCTTTGTCTCTTTTGATCTTTGTTGGTTTAAAGTCTGTTTTATCAGAAACTAGGATTGTGGCTCATGCTTTTCTGGCTCTCCATTTACTTTGTAAATCTTCCTACATCCCTTTATTTTGAGCCTATGTGTGTTCTTGCATGTGAGATGGGTTTCCTGGATACAGCATACTGATAGGATTTGAATTTTTATCCAGTTTGCCAGCCTGTGTCTTTTGATTGGGGCATTTAGCCCATTTACATTTAAGGTTAATATTGTTATATGTGAATTTGATCCTGACATTTTGATGCTAGCTGGTTGTTCTGCCCATTAGTTGACACAATTTCTTTATTGTGTTGATGCTCTTTACCATTTGGTATGTTTTTGGAGTGGCTGGTACTGGTTGTTCTTTTCTATGTTTAGTGCTTCTTTCAGGAGCTCTTGTAAGGCAGGCCTGGTGGTAACGAAATCTCTCAGCAATTGCTTGTCCATAAAGGATTTTCTTTCTCCTCTGCTTATGAAGCTTAGTATGGCTGGATATGAAATTCTAGGTTGAATGTTCTTTTCTTTAAGGATGTTGAATATTGGCCCCCACTCTCTTCTGGCATATAGGGTTTCTGCTGAGAGATCCGCTGTGATTCCGATTGGCTTCCCTTTGTGGGTAACTCGACCTTTCTCTCCGGCTGCCCTTAGCATTTTTTCCTTCATTTCAACCCTGGTGAATCTGAGGATTATGTGCCTTGGGGTTGCTCTTCTAGAGGAATATCTTTGTGGTGTTCTCTGTATTTCCTGGACTTGAATATTGGCCTGCCTTGCTAGGTTAGGGAAGTTCTCCTGGATAATATTCTGAAGAGTGTTTCCCCACTTGGATTCATTCTCTTCGTCACATTCAGGTACACCTATCAAACATAGATTAGGTCTTTTCACATAATCCCATATTTCTTGGAGGCTTTGTTCACTTCTTTTCACTCTTTTCTCTCTAGTCTTGCCTTCCCGTTTTATTTCTTTGAGTTGATCTTCAATCTCTGATATCCTTTCTTCTGCTTGGTTGATTCGGCTATTGAAAGTTTGTATGCTTTGCAAAGTTCTTGTGTTGTGTTTTTCAGCTCCATCAGGTCATTTATATTCTTCTCTAAGCTGTCCATTCTCATTAGCATTTTGTCAAACCTTTTTTCATGGTTCTTAGTTTCTTTGCATTGGGTTAGAACATATAATTTTAGCTCAGAGAAGTTTGTTATTACTCACCTTCTGAAGCCTGTTTCTGCCAATTCATCAGTCTCATTCTCCATCCAGCTTTGCGCCCTTGCTGGTGAGGAGTTGTGATCCCTTGGAGGAGGAGAGATGTTCTGGTTTTGGGTGTTTTCATCCTTTTTGCACTCATTTCTTCCCATCTTTGTGGATTTATCTACCTGTGGTCTTTGTAATTGGTGACTTTCGGATGGGGTGTCTGAGTGGACATGCTTTTTGTTGATGATGAAGTTCTTTCTTTCTTTTTTTTAGTTTTCCTTCTAACAGGCCCCTCTGCTGTAGGACTGCTGGAGGTCTACTCTAGACCCTGCTTGCCTGGGAATCACCTGCAGTGGTGGCACAACAGTAAGGGTTTCTGCCGGTTTCTTCTTCTGTTATCTTTGTTCCAGAAGGATACCTGCCAGATGTCAGCCTGAGCTCCCTTTATGAGGTGTCTCTTTGGATATACAGGGGTCAGGGAGCTGCTTGAGGAGACAGTCTGACCCTTATAGGAATTCAAGTGCTGAGCTGGGAGCTCCATTGTTCCATTCAGAGCTGCTGGGCAGGTACGTTTAAGTCTGTTCCAGTGGAATTCATAACTGCCTTTTTTCCCAGGTGCTCTGTCCTGGGAAGGTGGGGCTTTATTTATGAGATCCTGATGTGCTGCTGCATTTTTTCAGAGATGCTCTGCCAAGCTAGGAGTTAGCCTAGTCATGGTCTGCCAGCAGAGGTGTTGCTGAGCTGCCATGGGCTCTGCCCAGCTGCTGTGTGAACTTCCTTGTGGTTTTGTTTATAGAGGCATAATTAGAACTGCCTTGGTAATGGCAGTCTGCCTCAGTATTGGCGGACTGCCTCTGTAATGGCAGAGTGCCTTGGTAATGGCCGACTGCCTCGGTAATGGTGGACTGCCTCAGTAATAGCGGACTGTCTCAGTAATGGCGGACTGCCTGGGTAATGGCTGATGCCCTCCCCCCACCAAGCTGGACTATCCCGGGTGCAGCTGTGCTTGCTGTGAAACTCTCAATCCAGAACATTTCAGATTGTTGGTCTTTATGGGGATGGAACCTGCTGAGCCAGATCACCTGGCTCCCTATTTCAGCCGCCTTTTTTTCAGTTGAATGGGCAGCTCTGTCTCCCAGGCATTCCAGGTGCCACTTGAAATGGCTGCCTAGATTTATGTGAGTTTTTGTGTGGACACCCACTGTGCCAGCTGAAACAGCCATGCTGGAGACTCTTGGTACTTTTCAGCCCAGGAATCTCCTGGTCTGTGGGCAGTAAAAACTTGTTTGGAAATGCAGTGATCACTCACCCTCTGCATTATTTTAGCTGGGAACTGCACTCCAGAGCTGTTCCTATTTGGCCATCTTGCTGAAAGAACTCTTAATAACTATCAGTGGCTTAGAAAAACAACTTTCAGACACATTAAAGACTAAGTTATCTATTCTCTCCAAAGAAAATGACAATTACAAAATTGTTGACACATGAAGAGAAAAAGTACGTGCTGCCCAAAACTATGGGGAAAAAGTATTATGAAGGTGTTTTGGGCAACAAATTCATTTGAATATTGTTTTTTTTTATTCGTATTTATGACACTTTTCATAAAGTATGTAGTTTATTGTTATTTCTTATTCTAAATAAACATCCAGTTTTATATTTAATTTTCAGTGGTTGGGGGAGACAGAGTCTTGTGTTGCCCAGGCTGGAATGTAGTGGCATGATCTCAGCTCACTGCAACATGCATCTCCCAGGTTCAAGCAATTCTCATGCCTCAGCCTCCCAAGCAGCTGGGACTACACATGCATGCCACCAAACCCAGCTAACTTTTCTATTTTTAATAGAGATGAGGTTTCGCCATGTTGTCCAGGCTGGTCTTGAACTCCTGGCCTCAAGTGATGTGGCTGCCTCAGCTTCTCAAAGTGCTGGGATTACAGGCATAAGCCACTGTATGTGGCCTTATATTTAATTTTTGATGGTAGTTTTGCATTCTTTTTATTAAAGAGGGCCCCACAAATTACACGAGCTTCAGGCACCACAAAATCAAGATCCACCTTGATGGAGAGGCCACTCACCTGAGGTGCTTCCTCACTCATTCCTCTGTGTCCCCTCACCTGTCCTCCCTGCACCTGCACAAGGATAGCCACAGAGTCCCTGCATGACTCCAGGCATTTGTGTCAGAGACAGTCTTTGAACAAGAGTGTGAGTGCAGGATGGAATGTTAGCACTTATTTTGTTCACCACTGCCCCAATTTTACAGATGAGGAAACTAAGAGCCAAAGAGGAAAAGTGACTTGTACAAAGTCATGCAGGAAGCTCGTGGCAAAACTTGAACAGAGGATCCTGACTCTTAGTCCAGGGATTTCTATACTGTTGCTCACAGTCTGTCATTAGTTATACCAGTGGTTTTTAAGCTTCATTATTAATAATTGAACTTGATAAAAACAGTTTCCTCCAGTGTGCAGGTCTTCAGGCCCTCAGACACAACTCAGTGTGGGATTCCCTGATACATGGGTGCCTTGGGTCACTAGGGACCCAAACCAGTGATCCCTCAAGTGCACCAAAATTACTTGGATGCTTAAAATGCACATCTCTGGGCCTCAACCCTAGAGACTGTGATCCATTAGAACTGGGTCAAAATTTGAGTTTTTAAGAACCTCTTCCAGTGCAGCTAAGGCAAGATGTGGATGAACTTAGCTCACTTATTCTAACCTTCTTACTCCTTAGATATCAAATGTTCTGCCTCCTCTTAGTTCCACCCACCCCACCTCCCATTACAATGGAGGAGAGAGTGGTATACATCAGCTCTCTTCCTAGCTTCCTGCTGTCCCACCTACTTTCAAATGTACATCACACTGCAAGCTTTTTAAGACATTGTGCTTGCAAGCTATTTATAAGGATAAATACTCAGTAAATTCCAAAGACTGTCTAGAGCCTAAATAACAAACAGACCACAGATCCCATGCCGGGATTATTGGGAAATAATTCCTGGTAGATTTCATAAATGCTTATTGGTCCTCTACATGAAATGTAAAATCTGGACCTGTCACATCCAGTTTCATTAATGACCCTGGGGATAACCACAGGGTGAACTAGAGAATAGCTGCTGTGATTTACTTTGACTCAGGGCTTTAACACCGTCTTGATGCTAACTAGTAGTGACCTGATCTGTCGGCTCCAGATGTCTGGAGCCTCATGAGATCTGGCAACCAGAAGAGGACACACACTCTAAATTTCCTAACAAAGTAGATACCATTTAAGGCCTTAACAATCATGGACCCCAAACTTTACTACCCACATTAGCCTAAGTTAGGAGAAGATGGCTTTTCCCTTTCCCCAGGTATAGTGAGACAATGTATATGAAACTCTTTGCAAATTCCTATGAGCTATATAAAGGCAGTGTTTCTACTCACTGTTTTTATGAGGCACAGGCCTGCAAGTCCTCAAAAGGTGATCTTGAGCCCAGAATAATCAGCTGGCGCTCCCCTAAAGCACATAAGCACAGACGTGAGTAATAATTGGCCAAAAAGAATTCCTCATGGCACTACAACTCTAGTTTCAGAGGAGCTACAAGGATAATTATTAATGGTCATGCTTCTTGTTATTAATAATCAAACTTGCCAAAAGCAGTTTCCTCCGGGGTACAGTTCCTCAGGCACAACTCTACATGGGGTTCCCTAAGGCAGGGTGCCTGGGGCCTCTGAAAGAGCCTCCCAAGGGCTTGCCTCCTGGGCCCAGAGCAACCAGGATTATTTTCACATAAAAGATTTGCCATCCTAAAAGCATGGGTATTTTCTATTCTTTGACATTTCTGATTCCTCTATTTTCAATGTCTCAAAATTGAATTCAAAAGAGGAGCTAAAGGCTACTTGTTTTTCTAAATAGACGTATATTTAGTGCTCCAAGAAGAAATTTTATTCCTACCTCCCATGAGCACAGTGTCCCTAATTCTAGGGGTAATAGCTAAATAGTAGCTTGCCCCTATTGGTTTAGGAAATTCTTTCCTCAATTTTCAGGATAAAAATAAAGATTACTCAGACAGATCTGTGATTCTGCCTTGGCAGAGAGTTTTAATGCCTGGGAACCAGAATCTACTGGATGAACATTCATAACCTTAATTTCAGAATCTCAAATGACAGAAATGTTCTCACTGACTGCAAATGAGGACAGAATGCTTGGCTGGTCTTGATATTTTCCACTGACACCTTTAAAACAATAGTGATGACCATCTCTTATCATCATAGCAATAAATGTTCTCAAACTTCCTCAATAAATAAAAGTTGAAGTCCTGTCATTGAAAAAAAGTTTAATAAATTATCAATACATCTTTGTTGATATGCAAAGAATTATGCAAAGTACCCTGGCACCACAAAAATAAATGGGACACTAGTTCCACGGGGAGGACCTTACAATCCAATGAGAGAGATAAGACGTGAACACTGATAAATAGAAGTAGAATACGAGAAGTATCACAAAACAGGGACAAACAAAGCTATAGGATTTCAGATGCAAGAGATTACTTCTGGTGGAAGGGACTCCATGCAGATGGCAGAGGGGTGCCATTTGAGCTGGGTCCTTCAGCGTGCATGTAGTCTCGCTGCTGGATCTGCCATGTGTTTCTCCAGTTACCCACCCAACAAAGCTTGCTTGTCAATGGAGCTCATGGTTTTCACTTTTGATAGTTTTCTTTTGCTGTGTGACACATTACCACAAACTTGGTAGCTAAAAACACACACATTCATTATCTCAAAGTTTCTGGGGGTCAGGAACCTAGACACAGAGTAGCTGGGTTCTCTGATCAAGGTTTCCCAAAGCTGAAATCTAGACGTCAGTCAGATGTATTCTCATCTGGAGTTCTCCCAAGTCCATTCAGGTTGTTGACAGAATTTATTTCCATGCAGTTGTTGAACAGAGGTCCTTGTTTGCTTGCTGGCTGTTGGCCAGGAGTTGCTCTCAGCAACTTGAGGCCACCCTCATGTCTTAGCTGTGGGGCCCTCTCACTATAGAACAGCTCCCTCCCTCAAAGCCAGCAGGAGAATTTTCTGTTTAGGGAAGGCCTGAACCTTCCTTTAAAGGACTTGCCTGATTATGTCAAGTCTTCCAAGGGTAATATCCCTTTTGTTTGACTCGAAGTAACAGGAGAGACATTAATTACATCAGCAAAATCCCCCAACCTGTGCCAGATCATATAACCTAATCACCCTGGTAAAATTCCATCATACTCACAGGTCCCTGACAGTCAAGAGGAGAGGATTACACAGGGTGTCTATACCAGGTAGGAATCTTGGGGTTGTCCTGCTTACCATGGCATTCAAGCTGAGTGTAAGCTTTAGCACCCATGGGAGGACTGTCCTTACTGCAAATTCCATCTATCTATAAATTTAAATCAGCAGGACTATAAGAGGCAAAGAAAGGAAAGGTGAATATGGAAAAAGATGTGGCAGACTGAATTTTCAATGTAGTGTGTGTTCACCATACTCCATACTTGTATACTACATCAGTACAAGATAGTGCATTGAACACAACACACACACATAGACACACTATACATGCTGTTCCTCCTATGGGACACTGAACCCTCCTCCCATTGAGTGGTGGGTCTATGTCACCCCCTCTTAGACTTGGACAGAACTTTGTAACTGCCTTGGCCAATACAATATAGCAGAAGTGACACTAAATGACTTCTGAGACTAAGTCATAAAAATAATATGCAATTGCATTCTCTTGAAACACTCATTTTGGAAACTTGCCACCATGCTGTGAGAACACCAGTCACATGGAAAAGCCACAGGTAGGTGCTCCAGCTGACAGTCTCCATTAAGGTCCCAGCCAACAGCCAGCATTAAACACCAGAAGTGTGTGAATGAACTTCAGATGACTCCAGCACCAGCTGTTGCCACCTTCAAGCCACCCCCAGCCTTTAAGCCACCTTACTAAGTTCCACGTGAAAACAAAGATGAGCTATCCCTTTTAGCCCAGACCAAATTGCAGCTTCATGAACAAATAAATGATTGTTACTTTAAACTGCTTACTTTGGACTTGGACAGAACATGACTGGCAGATGTGGAATGGCAAGCTGGACACTAGCATTTCTGTATTTCCCCAGAATCAAGGGGAAGCCCTCCTCCCATAACCAGGAAGGTGAAAGTAGTCAAAAGACTTTGAGGCTTAGCATTCCAACAACTGCATGGCATTCTAATCTCCCCTGCTTTAATCTGGGGGCCTCGTCCATGCAGTGGATTAAGAACCCTAAACTACTGTCCAGAAGGAGCCTGACTCACTATTCCAAGGAAAATGAGAAAGCAAAGGGACTGAGGAGATGAATGAAGAGAGACAGAATCTGAGGAAGAAATGCAGAAGAAAGAAACACTGACTTTGAAATTGGAGTCTGAAATGCAAATATGCATATGAATGAAGGCATGTTAGAGACGACAGAGATTTCAATAAGTGGTGCCCTCTATATATGCACACACACACACGTACACACTGACACACACACACACACACACACACACACACACACTCCTCGCTGCCAGCAAAAGACGGGCTAGGCTCTACCTCTCTTGTTCTTCCAGGTTCTAGAAAAAGGAATCTGGCTTTCAAATACATACTGAATTTCCCGTTGCCATGCCATGTCCCTTGTTCTCTAAAAGCGTGTAATTCCAGCTGTTTGGCTGCAGCTCAAGAGTCACTGGAGTGCAAAAGTCTTCTCACATGTGTTCTTGCCTATTTGGCAGGTATGAGAGAGAGGATTTCTGAAGGATCCAGAAATTTAGCATTGATTGGGCAATGTAGGGGGTTGCTTGGGACAGCAAGAGCAAATAGTGTGTGACACACCATGCAGAGACACATAGTATACACACAACACATTCGCACACTGCATAGTACTTTACATGTATGTCATATACACCATGGGTACAACAGATAGAACTGCACACGCATATACAGACAGCTGACCTTAAAGAAGAGAAACCTAGTGTTAGGAATGGTTTGATTTAAACACTTGTGAGGATCTAAGGAAAACTACAAATCCTAGGATTATAATGTTTTGCAATCATTCAATCCAAGCTCTCCATTTTACAGGTAAACAGTGGGGGTTTAGCCAAAAGTGGGAGCATGTGTTCTCATTCCTAGACTGGAGATATTTTCTCAGATCTCGGCGCTAGGGAGGCCCCACTGTGCCTCTCCTAGTTTCAGAAATATACATGTTGATTAATACTTCAGCACTAGACACACACACACACACACACACACACACACACACCCTTCCTCACCTGTACAACTGCTGTTTTAACTTAAGTCTAGAAAAGTAATAACATGAAAAAAATTGCTTTCAGATCAGAGCAAGGTGAGAAAATGTGGACACAGTCAAGCTTCTCTTGCCAGCCAGATGTCCCTCACTTCCCTATACTCAGAGGTCACCCTTCCTTTTGGTGCCCAAAAGACACAGTCCTTGCACCATAGACTCCAGGAGGCTGGCGTTTCCCCGGACCTTCCACACAGGCTTCCTGGGACTCCTTGGGAATGCAAACCCACAGATCTTGCTGTGGTGTCATGGATCTTGCCCAGGAGTCATGCTAATCACTTGCTATTTCATAACTGGCTTCTCCAGGTGACAGACATCCTCCCCTTACTACTCCCCTGTGAGCTTGGTTGGACAGGGCACAAGCCTACCTACTCAATTGAGAAAGTTTTGTAATCCTGGAGCCCAGTGAGAGAGAAGAACTCATTTCCCCTCACCTCCATCTTCCAGGGTCTCAGGCTGCTTCAAGTCAGATTGATCATCATCTACAGAGATGTGCTCTGCCCACTATGAGGAACCTCCTGCTGCTGTAACCAGGAAGTGCTTCCGCACAGTGCAGCCCAACTCAAGTACCTCTGCTGGCTCTTTCCTTCACCATCCCTGCCCCTCTGGGGGCCAAGGACACTTTGCTGTGGAGGGGATTACATGTGCCCTAAGCTCTTTCTGGGGGTTGAGTTCGTACAGGGTGGTGTGACTGGAGCTCAGCAGTCACTGGGCATGGGACAGTGTCTTCTGTGGTTGATGGACAGAGAAGGACTGCCACGTGGCTCCTCTGCCTAGCAGCAAATAATGTTCTCACTCAGTTAGTGCCAGATGGTGAGGTCTCCTCATGCGAAGCTCCCCCTAGCTCCCTCTGCTCCAGTACAGGAGACTCGAGTAGGCTCCCTGGAGTACAGAGGGCAGGCAAGATGGCATCCGTCTCTCATTACATTCCTGTTTTTGCATGGCATAAACTATGTGGCCCAGGACCCTCAGAGCCCTGTCTTCTGATTTGCAAGAACCCGGTGATATAGTTTGGATATTTGTCCCCTCCAAATCTTATGTGATATTGATCCCCAGTGTTGGAGGTGGGGCCTAGTGGGAAGTTTGGGTCCTGGGGGCAAATCCCTCCTGAACAGCTTGGTGTCCTCCTTCTGGTAATGAGGGAGTTCTTGCTCTATGAGTTTTCACAAGATCTAATTGCTTAAAATAGCCTAGCACTGCCCTCTTCTCTTGCTCTTGCTCCCTCTCACCATGTGACCTGCTGGTTTCTCTTTGCCTTCTGCCATGAATGGAAGCTTCCTGGGGTCCTCACCAAAAGTAGATGCTGATGCCATGCTTCTTGCACAGCCTGCAGAACTGTGAGCCAAATAAACTTATTTTTTTTATAAATTACCCAGCCATAGGTATTATTTTATAGCAAAGCAAAACAGACTAAGACACCTGGTTTGGAAGTTTTTAAAAGAACTCCATATTTCTATTTTTTCTCTTTGTATTCCTACTAAAACACGCTCACTAAAGGAAGGAAACAGAATGCAAAGGAAGAAAAGAACAG